GAGAGAGAGAGAGAGAGAGAGAGAGAGAGAGAGAGAGAGAGAGAGAGAGAGAGAGAGAGAGAGAGAGAGAGACTGACTGACTGGCTGACCGTTTTCTGGCATTGAAAATCTTGGGCTCTAAGCTGTTTGTAATCTGATGTGGGTTGTTGAAATGTTGTGTGGGCCTCTGATTGCACAGAGTCAAGAGCGATCTTGCGATATATTTTGAGCAGTGTTGGTGAAAAAGGCAAAACCCTTCTCGGTACAACTCTCAGGGAGCAAGCCAAAGTGGATCAGTGGCTGCAGGTGGAGGCAACTTCATATGATCGTACATGCGGCACCATCTTATATGAGAAGCATATCAATCCTAACTTTTTCAAAAAGCCCACAGATTTTGCGAGGTTGGAGGAAGAGAAGTCTAAGTTGTCAGCATTATTGGATGTCTATGAAAAGGTTCTCGTGAAGCAAGAATACCTGGCCGGGAACTGTTTCACGGTTGCAGACCTTTCACACATTCCACACACACAAGCGATGTTTGCGATTGGTTTTGAGGATGTCTACAACAGTCGCCCTCACCTGCGGGAATGGTGGGCACGTGTCTCACAACGGGAGGCATGCCAGAAGGTGTCATCATTTTTCGTTCCCAAATCTCGTTCTCCGTGAGAGAATCATGACACAGATTCAAATACAACTTCAGTATTTCGAAAAGAATTAGGCATAAAGAATGTGCTAAGCACTTTGCACTTGATAGGGGTGGAACATCCATCTCTATGTCGCTAGATCATCATTAGGAGGACTTGAGTTCATTAACTAGTAGTCAGTGGGGGCTGTAAAATTGAACCCCTTTGTCAAGGAATTTCGCTTGTTCATGTTATTCACTAAATTTGGTTTTGCTTTTAGCTACTTGCTACCTTTTTCAAGGCAGCGCCTGATATGGCCTTTCCACGATTAAACAATATCAGTTTTTGGTTATTACCACCATCATTATTACTTCTTCTAATTTCTGCTTTAGTGGAAGTAGGTGCTGGTACCGGGTGGACGGTCTACCCACCTTTAAGCTAGGTATTATCGATAGGTCCTTTTCTGGCAAGCAAAAAGCTGCACACCCGATGAATATAATGCGCAATCGACAATTAAATGAAAGGGTACTGCAGTGCCGGGCATTATGAGATAATAATGTTTGGAAGCATGGACCAATCTAAGCTTGTCATTAAAAAAAAAAAAAAAAAAAAAAAAAAAAAAAAAAAAAGAAAGAAAGAAAGAAAGAAAGAAAGAAAAGAAAAGAAAAGAAAAGAAAGCTTGTCATCCAGCCCTTCATGGTAAAATTATGAACATTTGCTTTGTGGGAATAATTATGGGTGCAAGGAAAATGAGCGATAGCAAAATTCAGAAACCAAGCCGCATCATACACATGAAACCAGATAGTCTTGACCTCGAACCAAAAGCAGAATTGCAACACGAGTTCTACCAAATAAGAGCACAGCATAGCTCACAAACGACAATGTTGGAATAGTCTCGTCATCATCATCAAGGAACCAATGCCGTTCCCGTATCTGGCGCTCGGCGCCCAGACTACAAATGGCAGATCCTATCTGGCCTATCTACAATGCCGCCGGTGACGTCAACAGCTTTCCGAAGTACGAGCAGATCTCGGCCAATGCCGTTCGCATCAAGCACCAGGTATGTCCCTCGCTTCACTCACAACCTCGATCCTCCACACAGATGCCGCATGCACCCAAAGACCACCATGCGTCCCATCCAACAATGCGCAGGCCAGCCCGGCTATCGCTGCCTGCGTCCTCCCTGCTCGCCCGTGAGCACGTAGGCACTCGCTTCAGCAGCGTTTGCGCAAAAGCAGCGAATGCCCGAATGTCTGGCCAGCGGCCTGGCCCTTTCATTTATGGAAAGTGGCTGGCAGTCCTCGGCTGCCTGACTGGCCTGGGCCTTTCCTCGGAAGCTTCCGGTAGGCCCCAAGTGGCTGAGCCCCAGTCTCGAGGAATCTTCCACAGGGCCTAGTAGGCGGCTATCCGTGTTACAACTGTCAGGCGGCTGTGTTCAGTTCATGCCCGTGTCTGGCCCAGGGCCTGCCTCCGATACATTCGAAAAAGGGCCTAGAGGCCCGAGATATTGGTATGCAGGGCCTAGGCACACTCAACCAACTGACGCTGCGTAACTGCCTTGAAATTTCCCCCAGTTGCGTCTAACACAAAAATAGGCCTCTCGACACAGCTGCTTCTTCTGGAAGAGCCCAGGGTAAGGCCCAGGTTGTACTTCAACCAACTTTTTTTTTTTTTTTTTTTTTTTTTGTATGAGCAGCAATTGTCTGAGACCTACATTGGAAAATGCTGAGAGAAGGGCCTCTCGTGGATATTCAGGCCCGCCTTCACTTAGGGCGGGCACGAGGGCCACAGTCCAGAACATATGCATGTTGTCTAGGGCCCCCTGAGGACACATTCCTCACACGTGTATTTAAACTCCGCGGCACCTATGTTTCCTGGATATTTATTTTGTGTCCCCGCCCAAAATAACAGTACAGTCTTGCCAAAAAAATGTATATAGTCTGCAGACTGTTAGGGTTCAGCCTCCTCATGTGAAACTCCGACGAAACAGTTTGTCACAGCCCTCGTTTGTTGTTCTCTTCTCCCTCTCTGCCTACAGTTTACCGGGCAGCTTTTTTTAACGATATATATGTATAGTAAATTATTAGTAATTTAATTAATAAATATATTTAATATAATAGCATGCATCCACAGTTTAATTAACTTCAATAGAAAAAAGAACAATTATTTGCAGTTGGTCACTGCTGGACCTCAAATTTTATTTTATTTTATTTTTTATTTTTATTTTTTTTCTCCTTCCTTCTTTTTTTATTTTTTTT